ACATAAGTATCGTCTAAACGTGCTCAATCTACTTAGCTTTCACAGTTTTTAGACCAAACATATTGAGGTGTTTGGCGACACTAGCTGACACTGAAACTGAAGGCTTAAAAAAAACAGACTTCTCCAAAATATGCAAAAAATACTACAATTTGAATTAATTTCTGCATTGGGTTTATCAAATCTAGAGAATACTTACAAATCATGTTAAAGCAATAATCCAATTTCGAGTTCAGGTTTGCTCTGTGTTAGCCTCAAAACCAAGTAACATATTCTTTTCATGTTTCATTGATAGCTGAAAAAAACGCATGGAATTTGTGAAGAAAGACAATAGAATTGATTTGAAATCTYACACTTCTACGCTCACAATAAGGAATATTTTGCGCACAAATGAGGCTAACACAGAGCATTGGAGAATTCGAAACTGGAGTATTAACAGTACGCTTAGGAGTTAATTGATATTTATAGAAGTCACTACTTACAGGAGCTTTATTGAAATTCGTGACCCAAATGATCAATTATCAAAAAAATTCCATGCCTGCCTCTACATCGCCTCCCCCCCTCTCTTCCTCCCTCATTCAAGGTTGTGGTCAAACATAACTATGGTATAAAACCTGTATGCTTACGAGAGAAACTTAGAACAGTTTACTACTCCTTAGCTTGTGTTAATGAYCTGCTGGTGAGGCGCTTCATGAGGACGCCCCAAAAAGAGCAAAGGCCACAGGAAATCCGTCAAATAGTGGTGTGAATCTCTTTACATCAATTCATTTCCAAGTGATGTATAGAGAGACCCAATTGACTAAGTATGTCTAACGGGGGATTTAATCACTACAGGAGATCAAAACAGAGCCTCCTTAATATCTAGGACTGAGAGCGTGATTGTGCTTTTGTATCATCGAGACTTTAAATGAAAGAAAATTCATGTGAATGAAGGCAAGGTTTTTCAGTAGAGGTTTGAAACGTTTAGTACTGGGGTGATTTTTTTCGTCTTTGTTTTTGCGCACCTCAGAGTGCTTAATTAAACTATGAAATAGYAACTATTTAGCTGACGTCCAAAGCAACCGTCGACAAAATCGGGGGAGACAATGAAAATTAGAGGGGGACATTGGGGTTTGCGGGATTGACCGTTTTTTCATGCGATATTGCGGTAATTTGGCAAAATAAATTCGATAATGCGGGATTTGTATTTTGTGCGATATGCGGTATTTAAAGTTTTAAGATGTGGTATTACGGGAAAATCGCTTAAAATGGCGGTATACTTCAGTTTCGAAATCATAGCGAATAACCGCTGCTTTATTTGACAACAGATTCTCTTGCGCAAAGACCTTACAAACACAAAAGACACAAAAGAGAGCACGAGAAAATGTCGTTATTACAATAGACTTGAAAATTTACATTTTGCCCGAGTTGAGATTATCCCTGTATTCCCATAAGACTTAAGGTATATGAGCAGGGTTAGCCTCAACTCGGGGAAAATGTATATTCTTAGCGCTATTGTATTTTTTCTCGTGCTTTCTTTTGTCTTTGGTAAGTTCTTTGCGTAA